TTGACTGAAGGACTTTTTGTAGCTTTAATAAGAAACAAAGGAAGTTTAATTCTTACAGTGTAGACTATGCTGTTTTATTTTACATTCAATTATGCAATTTCTGTAGTAGGCTGTTAGCTGAATACTTTAGACTTGCACTGCTTGTTTCATTTGTATATTTTTCCTATTGTATTTGTCCTTTTCTTTTTTTATTACTGACCGTTTAATTATTTGTAAAAAATAAAAATAAAAATGTATTTATTTTTATGAAAATTGGCTACCCTAGTATTCTGCTGTGGTATTGAGAATTGTGAAATTTCACTGGTCTCTAAAATGTAGATGTCATAGCAACCTTATTTACTGAAAATAGATATTTGATAACATTGTGCTAAATATTCATCAAACAACAAAAGACAAAGACAAAATCACTCACTGCTCTTGACTGAAGGACTTGCACTGCTTGTTTCATTTGTATATTTTTCCTATTGTATTTGTCCTTTTCTTTTTTTATTACTGACCGTTTAATTATTTGTAAAAAATAAAAATAAAAATGTATTTATTTTTATGAAAATTGGCTACCCTAGTATTCTGCTGTGGTATTGAGAATTGTGAAATTTCACTGGTCTCTAAAATGTAGATGTCATAGCAACCTTATTTACTGAAAATAGATATTTGATATCCAAAGAGTGGTCATTGTGTGCATGTCACAACAATATCACAAATTCTCCACAAATTTGTCTTGTATGGGAGGGCTGCAAGAAGATTCTGAGGCAGATGAGACTAAAATTGAATTCATGAGTTCGCACTTACATATAATGAACAAAGGTTAACATGTCAGAAAAACAAAAACACCGTCGGAAAAAGGATCACCCCCTCCTAAAAATGAATTGTAAACTCAAATCAGGTGTAGCTAATCAACGTCTCAATTTTCACACAAAGACAACTCTGAAGCAGTTGCAGAAATTTATGACAGAGTGGTCATTGTGTGCGTGTAAAAACAATATCACAAATTCTTCACAAATTTGGCTTGAATGGGAAGGTTGCACTCCTCAAGAAAGGCCACATGCAGTCACGACTGAGCTTTGCCAAAAGCACCTTGAAGATTCTGAGGCAGATGAGACTAAAATTGAATTATTTGCCCTCAACACCAAACAATATGTCTGACGGAAATCCAATACAGCTCACCATCCAAATAACAGCATTCCTACAGTAAAGCATGGAGGTGGTAATATCCTGTGATGGGGGTGTTTCTCTGCAGCAGGGACTGGAGCACTTGTCAGGATAGATTGAAAAATGGATGGGGCAAAATACCGTCAAATTCTCTGCCAGAAAGTTGTCAATGGGAAAAAGGTTTACCTTCCAACATGACAATGACACAAAGCACACAGCAAAACAGAACACACTGGTTGAAGGAGATAAAGGTGAATATCCTTACATGGCCTAGTCAGAACCCAGACATAAACCCCATTGAAAATCTGTGGAATGACTTGAAGACTGCAGTCCACAGTTACCATCACATTTAACTGAACTTGAGCAGTTCTGCAAAGACGATTGGGCAAATAGTAAAGGTTATGCGTATTTGGCGTGCTGTCCGGGGAGAGGGCTCCGAGCTCGGTAATTACTCTCGAGCCCGGGGTACTCCCCCTGTCCGGGGAGAGGGGTTCGAGCTCGGCTTTTAGCCCGGACCCAGAGCACTCCCCCCAAGTGTTCCTCCCCGTGCTGGGGTAGGAATGGGCTGAAGGTGAGGAGTCGGGGTGGTGGAGGGATGCTGAAAGACTAGAGATAATGAAGGTAAGGCTGCTTTGATTATTTATAGAGGTTCTCTCTTGTGCTGATTGGATAGATGGTGTAATTACTGATGATGGACTGGCCGTGTTAATTATCTGCGCGTGCTCCTCCCGAAATTT